GCTGTCATGATAGCAACTTTGTCCAGTTTTGTAGAGTGTCCAAATTCTAATCTGATTGTTAGATCTTTTTAAAATTTGGTATACTACTAGTAATCGTTAAAAATGATGTGTGAGTTTTAAAATCACTTCGATCAGAGATCGAACGACGAAACGGTGCCTCTTAGAAGTTGGCTCGGGTGGGTTGTCATGGCAGCAATTTAATGCTATCATGACAGCATCTTTTTACCCCGCTTTTGCTAGCTTGCTTCTGTGTGCTATAGTTAGAACCTATAATTTTTTCTAAAGGTTATAAATGTTTATTTTGCGATGGTGTATTTGTTTAGTGATTTAAATGATTTGTTTCCTAAGTTGATTTTAGGATCAACTCCTTAACCACACTTAGTTTATTTAAATTGTATGATTTTTAGATAACACTCGGGGCAAGTATTACAGTTCGGATGGTAAGATGATCATACTAGAGTATGGAAATCGCTTATGATTATGGAAATGCTTATGTTTGAATATGCTAAGTGATGTTTTTTACATATATAAGCTTTACTTGTTTACGGTTGAACATATGAATGTTATGCCTACTTAGGATCATGTGTCATTTTGTAATCACTTGCATAAGAATCAATATGTAAAAGTGCGTATCTCGGCCTAGAATGATGTATCTATGTTGAAATTGTCGTGAAAGATCGAGATATTAGTGCAAGTGGTATTTTTGTGTTGTTTATGTGTTAGATTGGCCAAATTGATTATTATTGTGAATTATAGACACCGTTTTGAATTTATTGTGAAATTGAGGTTTTGGTGGCCAATTTGTGTTTGGATTGTTATTGATGTGATATGATTAGTCTATCAAGTTGTGCGTGATCCATTTGAGTTAGTCCAAGTGGTTCCAAGGCTATTAGCATTGGGTTGTGAGTTTTAGACACCCTTGTGTGTGTTTTGAATTAAAAACAGACTAATTTAGGTTCAGGAGTTCAACTTTTAAATGGTTAAGTGTTTGGGTGTGAGACTAGTGCTACTAGCTAGAGGGTCCAAAGAGCTACATGTGAACACTTAAATTGCTAAAATCGAACATCGAATGCCAAAATAGTGCATGAAATTTGGTCAAAAGAGCTGTCATGACAATAAGGTTGCGCCACAATGCACTACACAGAGAGGAACGTAGTTCCTCTATGTCATCTGCCATGGAAGGTGACACCTACGCCACAACAAATAGGGCCTTTTCTAAAAAATTTCCAGAATGCCCATTTGTTGAATTTAAATGTTGAATTGGTTTCTATGCCTCTGCTTTCTTGTTTAACTTATTTTAAACCACGATTTGAGCTCAAACATGCTTTCAAAAAGGATTTTCTTGGAGTCCCAATGTTTTACTTTTTACCTTCTAAGCCCTCAGATTATGATAACTTTATATAGGGAATTTAATTAACCATAGTTATTACAGTGGTGTTGTTGGAGTATTATTCTAGTAATATAAAGGCAAACATTACAACATTCAAATGTGAGTTGGAGTACAAAAGCTTTACCAAGACATCTCACATGCACAGATGACAAATTATGCTTGGATCATTTCTAATTCAAGCTTGAAACTTCATGCAGTGTGCCCAATGTGACAAATCACGTGTGAATCAATTTTGATTCAAGCCTGAAACATCATGCAATATAATGTCTAACTTATATGGTCCAATTTAAACGTGACTCACTTTATATTCAAGCTTGAGTTGATTATGACTAGTCCTAATACGTACAATAATGATCATTTCAAGCGTGGATCATCATAAATCAAGCTTGAAATGGACAATTAAACACAAGTGCACTTTAAATGTATGACATTTAAGATCAAAGGACTTATGAGCCCAAAGTTGATTTTAAAATAATGCATCCATATTAAATCAATGACATGTGATTAAACTTTCATAGTTTTCACATTGAATCTAAGAGAAATAAATAATTAAACCTATAAAACTTCTTCTTCTCTTGATTCTTTATGTTCTTGGAGGTTTTGTCACTTCAATGAATCTTGATGTCTAAATAACTAACAAATACCTCTTCTCTTAGTTTTGTAATTATTAAAATACATGATTCAACATAATTCTCATCGCTTCACTAATTGATCAAAAAAGTTTCTCCTTGTATCCATCGTAGACCTCCACACCCATCTCCTACATTTACTTCAAATCTTTAATCAACGAAGCTAAGTACAGCCCAAAAATTAATGATGACAACACCATAAACTTATGCTTCATGCACAACCCTATAAGGGGTTATAAAACATCCAAATCACTGGTCATGTATTGTGGGTACTACTTTGTATACCATGTTAGTTCATTCTATCAGTGGACACGTAAGGTGTAGGTTTCCATCTTCTTCCCAAAACTCAGGATACATAAGATTAAATATCTTCCATTGAAGAGAATCTGCAAGATTTCATAGCTTTCCATCTTTAATTCTCTTGTTAGCATGCCATGTTAAGTATTTGGCATCTTCTCTAATGCTATACAGCAATACAAGCGTTTGAATTTTAGTATGATAGAAAAATACCACAACTTCTTCACCAAGCTATATCCATTTCGCTTGTATCATGAGGCATTGCATTTTAGATACTTATCAAATGATACGTACTCATTATGAAATAGGATACAATCAGTAGGACATATATATTCTCATAATTCATCCTAATAGAGTATTGCATCTTTTTGGCTTCATATGTTTGAGATGGAAGCTTGTTGTCCCTGGCAACATATCTTTCAGCAGTTAAGCAAACATGTGAAACTTTTGTTACATCATCCGTTAGCTGCTTTTAAATTGTACAATTTCATAACAGTTACCAATTTTGTGAATTTAATACAACTGAAGTAATGAGAATGTGGAATGTCTGGATGCCTTCTAGTTTGTTCTTTTAAGGAGAGGAACTATAGTTTAATCTAGAGCTCTATACCTTTGGTTAGTATATTCATGTAGGTTAGATCCTTTTTGGACCATGTATTAGCTTATAGGAAAATGACAATTAAGTCCTAAAAGATTGAATTAATGATAGTTAAGTCTTAGATAAAATTTTCTACACATGAAATTATAATATCAATTCAAACAATTATAAATAGAAATTCTCATTACAATCTATGAGTTAGATTTGATACTTAAATATTTATTTGTAATTGAAACTCCTAAATTTGTAATTATCTAGATCGATATTTCCAATTTAGTTTTTAGGAAAAAATTGCCAAGGACTTTCTATTATTAATTCAATGTTTTGGACCTAAAAGTCATTCTTCCTTAGCTTATAGCTTCAGTCATCAGTAAAGGTTGGAAAATGAGAGATAAGGGAGGTCAGGCATTTAGCATCACGCTTGCATGATTTAAAGCTTTTCTGTCAAAGCTGATTTTTAAAATAGTCTCTGAACCAAGCCTTTTTTGGGTGCGTGTACTTAAAGGAAAATATGGTATTACTAATGAAACTAGCTAGATGTTCGTAGAAAGCACTGGTCATACTTCTGGAAAAATCTTTCCAAAAGTTGGCAGGACACTATGTTTCACATAAAGAGGCTTCCAGGTGATTGTCAAAAAAAATCAAATTCTGGTCTGATTACTGGGTTGGTAATTGTGGACCTCTAAAGAATTTATCCTTTGATGATATTCCTGAACAAGAGCTACTTGGACCAACTTTTGATTTTATTAATGAGGAAGGACAATGGAAATGGGACTCTTTCCAACATTTGCTGCCAAGCTCAACACTTGAAAAGAATGCAGGGATTAAAATTAATGTGGCTGAATCAGAAACACCAAGCTTTACCTGGAATCTCAATGCTGATGGTATAAATTTACTGTCAAATCCTTTTATATTGCCCTCCAATCTGCAGAATGGAATAATACAGCAGCTATTTACTAAAATTTGGAAACTACCTATGGCATAACGTGTGAGAATATTCATATGGCACATGGTTAAGGGGCAATTGCTTACAAATGCTGAAATGTTCTGTAAGAATATGACAAGTGACCAACGATGCTCTATCTGTCACGCGTCTGTTGAAAATATCAACCATATCCTCAAGGAGTGCCCTCTAGCAGCGAATGTTTGGAAGAAAATCCTTCCTACTGATATGTACACTGATTTCTCTGTTATATCTTGGCTGATTCTCTGCCTGCAAAAGTCCCACCTGGATACATCTTGGAAGATTGGATTAATAAGTATAACATGCTGGAAGTTGTGGGAAGTACGAAACCTTTGCATTTTCATTATTGAGTCCTTTTCCGTAGATGCCATTTTATCCCAAGTTAGAGCCATATAACCATACACTGAGAGCCTTTTTTAGTTTTCATATTCTGATGTAAATTGGTAGGAAAAGCTGCCCTTACTTAATGTCTGAAGTGCTTCGAGCAGGATTGCCTAGAATAGAAAAATACCCTTGGCAAACAGTTTTCCCATAGTATTATAATTATCCCTATCAGTCGGGGGGTAAAATCTAGTTTAAACTATGTTTCAATGATTTTGTGATCTATGTTGCAAATAAGGTTACGAAAATCGATTCCAAAATGGTTTTATAGAAATTATAAAAGTATTGATTTGTTTTGGTTTTAAAAAGATTTGTTGCTCTAATTATTATTAAGACATTCGATCTCATATATTACCTCTATTTTCAAGTGAATATACAAGTATGTTGCAAGGAAAGGTGCTAGAGTTAAGCCTACCAGCTCCCTGTGCAATCCGATTATTTGCACACTTTTTTTTTTCCAACTAATTCAATTGAAAATTTGTAATCACACAGTGATGTCACACAAATTTAAAATATCTTCGAAAAGGTGTTACATTCTCTTGGGGCATGCACCCTCCAATCATAAAGAAATCCAGTGAAATTCACAAGATTTGTTAAAACGTTACTTATTAATCTGCAGCACATGTTACTCATCCATGAGTTACATGATCTATTTGAGAAATGCAAGATAGTACAAGATACTGCATATTACGCGATGAATCAGAAAAAAGGCTAATAGCATTCGACAAACAACACGCCTCATAGCAAAACCACGCGAGATCCAAGACATTTAAATTAAATTCATTCAACTAATCATTTACAATTACGCATGTTTAACAAGAAATCCAAGTCTCAAAAGTAAACATAGTCAACAGAAATATAGACTCAGCGAGATGAACTGTTAAGCATATAGTAGCACACCCACATTGGCAAACCCTTGATTGTACTTTTCCAAAAGTCAAACAGTTTATTCAAATGCCCATTGGTTTTCCCGACGGACTTCCTCCTCTTCCTCAGGGGTAAAATCATTCTTGATACTAAAGGTCTTACGAATCTCCTCTGGTGTCTTCCCCTTGATCATGCCTGCCACAGTCTGACAAGTCAGATCCAGCAAGCTCTTGATATTCAAGTAGTTAGCTGCCTGAGAAACAAAATGCCACATCACAGATTAGTAATATCCTCATTTCATACTGAAAAACAATGGAAATATAGCTATAAAACACAGGGCAAACATGCAGTAATTCGGTGAAAACAAATATTTCCTGGAGACAAATAAGAATGCTATATAAAGTACATGCAATAGGTAGAGAATAACAAACATAGGCACAGTCATTCTACAATGCTAATACCCCAAGGAAACACCAAATTACTGAATTCAAAAAGGAAAGAACAGGACTATAAAAGAGAGTACAAATCACAAATTTCAGATGCAAATGAAAAGTCAAGCATTGCCTTCCAAACATGACCCATCCATTTTACTATAAAGAGTGACCATAAGCTCTAACAGGTAATCAATCATCAGCAACGAAGGAAAAAAACAAAACCCAATGTCTGTTACAACTTTGGTTAAGCTAAAACTTATCTTAAAACTGAAACGCTTTGCAACCCAGACTAAATTAAGCATGTCAAAGTTGGAGGGGGCAATGTTTGGCAGTTTAGTAGAAAATGGAAGAGAAAAGCAAGAAGGGGAATGGAATGCTATCCACCAATCCATTTTGAGTTCAACGGAGTCTTTTGGTTAACAATATTTTTCCCAAGATTCGGTTGATGATAGAGTTCAATCCCACCTAGTGAAATAAGACTTCTTGTTGTAATGAGAAGGAGAAGAAGAAAGTTATATCACCATCGACCAAATGTAGTAAAAAATATTGAATTGGATGCAGAGATGGACGTTGCTGTGTTATACTTACTGCTTAGGTTCAATTTTAAAATCCAGCTAGAGTTTGAGCCTCAGAAATTTTGAAGAAAAAGGAGCATAAGCACTCCTTTATTGTCATGAAATTCACATTCTTCAAGGATCAGAGGGGCAAATACAATGACAAGAGTTGCCACTTTTTCTTTCCTTAACATCATATAACACCAATAATATTAAAAAAAAAAAAACTTTGATTTACCAGGCTGGCTTTAGTCTCTCATGAAGAAATTAAATGATTGAGCACCTCAAAAAGGTGTGAAGCATTCTAGGGATGCCAAACTCTACCCATGGCTATCCCCATCCTCAAAAATACAACCCAATGGAAACAAGAAGTGAAAAGCATAGATAATTAAAGCGGAAGCAACAAAGTTAGTGAAGTCAGATCCACATGAAGTGGTTTGCACAAGGAAACAGGTATTCATAATGGAAACATAGGAAGAGAGAGCAAGAGAAAATGAAATAAAGAGAGAACCAATTAAACATGACAGGCCACTTATGGTATAATAGTAGTGGCACTATAATTTTGAATGACAAATAAGAGTATTAAATCCCTCCACCATTCCATTCTATACAATATTGCAATTATCATCCTGCGAACAAGATTGAAACTGCTGGCTAAAGAAAACAAGATTTAAACTAAAAATCATCCTAATCATTATATCCCTCGCCCACACGTTTCAATAAAGGGAATCGATGGACCATATTCTTCTCCAATCAGTTTTGGTCATGTCTCAGATGAAATCAAAGACATATTCAAAGATATTCGGACTGTCAGTAGGAAATCTTTGGGTATTTCGAACAATAAAAGCTGACACTAATAAAACAGCAATTACAACCCAAGAAGTAATAAGTACTTGGGCTTGGACATGGCAGGGAAACCCCCTATTGGACAATATAAATGTTGACCTACTTCCACCACGTTCTATCATAACTAATCATTGTTCTGCCTTCTTCACACAAAATTATCACAAACAAAGCAGAGCAAATAGATAAGCAATTTTTTAAACTCCCAATTTCGTAAACGTTATCCCTAATCGTCAATATCTTTATTGGAAAAAATAACTATGCTAACAACGGACAGTTATGGAACCCATAAAACAGGAAAAATGAAAAAAAAAAAACAAGCAGAGGAAATATAACTCACCAAAATGAGATCAAACAGCACAGCCTGGTCAACCCTCACGAATTCAGCATCCCAAGCCTTGATATCTTCGTCGGAGGTCTTCTCCTCGGAACTAGCGGCTTCGACGTGCTTCTTGCAGTATTCGATTACCTTGGCTAAGATCTTACTGGTCACGTTGGGCAGAGGGATGCCGTTGTCGGCACAATCGTCCTCGATCATGTGCTTGATCGTCTGCGACTCAAGCGCCACGGCCTCATCGACTTCAAAGGATTCGAGATCGGAGCTCTTCAAAGTAATTTTCCTCGAAGACATGATCTCAACAATTTTACGAGCTCTTCGATGCGAAAGCGAAAGCGAAACTCAATTCCCTAACCCTAGCTCTCTCAGTCAATATCTCTCGTGAGATGATGTATCGTTTATTTATAAAGCCTAGAGGATTTTGTTTCCTTTTTAATCCATCCGCCTTCTGGTTTCTGGGCGAAACTGAGGCAGTTTTTTAATTTTTATTTTATTTTGTTTTGGTTTGTTTTGTTTTTTTGATAAAGATCACATGTATTCGTCTTATCCAACCAAACTAAGGGTCTCAAATGTGGCAGCTATTTATTGGTTTGGAAGGTTAATTTTCAAATAAAATAATCTTATTTTGAGAATTTATTTTTAAAAAAAATGACAATAAAATTTTTCAAATTATATAAATAACAAATTTAATAACTTGAAATATCATAATTTTGCTGAAATTTCTGAGAACTTCTATATCAATAAATTTTAAGTTAAAAAGATCATTTTATTTTTATTAATAAACTATGATTTCTTATTTAATTTTTACGATTCTTTAAATAAAAATTGTGATTATGGTTATTATTTTGAGAACATGTTTTTCAATAACAAGAATTATATTTGATAAGTTGTAATTTTTTATTCAACTTTTATGATTCACAAAAAAATTGTTATTCCTTAAATAAAAGTTGTGATTGAATTTATTATTTTAAGATAAAAAATATAATTAATAAGTTATAATTTTTTATTTAATTCTTATAATTTACAGAATAAAAATTGTTATTTCTTAAATAAAAATTGTGATTGGAGTTTATTATTTTTAATAAGGATAAAATATACTTTTCACTTAAAAATTTATTAATACTAAAGTTCGTAAAAATTTCAATAAAATTACAGTATTTTAAAGGATTAGATTGTCATTTATGTAATTTAAAGAGATTTTATTGTTATATTTCTATAATTTGGCAAAAAAAATTCCATATTTTGATAAAATTGGGTAAAATTTTAGAAAATTAGGCCCAACTTGTTTAGGGTTAGTTTATTTAAGATTTTTTCATGAAAAGACTACTTTTTGAAAAAAAAAATGTTACTAAATTTCATCATATATTCATTTAAACTTTTATAACTAAACCGCATATGAAAAAAATAAATTTTTTATTATTTTAATAAAATATTTTGAATAAATTCTTAAAATAATACCATGAGAAAATAAATTATTTAAAAAATATGAAAATACATAAACATCTCATAAAATTTTAAAATAAGTAAATAATAAATTTTTATTTTATAACCAAAGATCCATGAAAATATAATAAAATCTGGCAATTACTAAATAATAACCATTATTCATTATTGTGAAAAATATAAAATTATTTTGCTTTTATAAAATATCTATAAAATCAATTTTTTCTATATCAAATTTCTAACTATTTAAAAATGATTGACTTTTTAATTTTAAACAAAGAGTCCTTATGCTTTTTTCATAAATAATCATTTATTTTTAAAAGTATATATTATAAAATATTATTTGTTTATTTAGGGCTCATTTGCTTAAGCTTTTTTTTATTAAAATACGAAAAAAGTAACTTTTAATTATTTTAAGAATACAAACAAATTAATTTCTTAATCATTTATAAAGCAATTTTGATTAGTTTCTAAAAATAATATAATGTGGTATATAAGAGAGAATCATAAAATATCATAAAAATATGAAGATACATAAAGATACCATAAAATTTTAAAATAACAAAATAATAAATTATTTTTATAAATAGAAATCCTTAAATATATCATAAAATATAAAAATAAATAAATAATAATCAATTTTTATTATTATAACCAATCAAAAAATAATACTACTTTTTTGAAATTTTTACAAAATAAGTTTCTTTTGGCTAACGTATACCTTTAATCAATTAACTTTATACAAGATTTTATTTTGGTTCCTTATTTTTATAAATTATATTTTTAGTTATTTAATCCTAACACCATTAATTTTATCATCTTAACAATGGTTAACACAAAAAACTATAATTTAAAATTAACGGTGTTAGAATTAAAAGACTAAAAAGATACATTATAATATTAAGATATCAAATTAAAATCTTATATAAATTTAGAGGACTAAAAGTATACTTTTATTTTTTCTTTTTTTTATAAAATCAATATCCAATTTAAAAATAACTTATTTCTAATCTTAAACAAAAAGCCACTTAAACTTTTGAAAATAATCAAAAATATTAAAAATATATTTCTAATTATTTTAATAAGCTACTTTAGGTAGTTTGCGAAAATACTCTCATGTATAGATGAGAAAAAATGTCATAAAAATAGAGATACACATAAAGATATTATAAAATTCCAAGACAACCAAATAAAAAGTCATTTTTTATTAATAGAGATTTGCAAAAGTATCATAAAATCTAAAAATCACTAAATAATAATCAATTTTTATTATTATCACCAAATATAAAATAATTTCAACTTTTAGGTAAATAAGTAAATGATTTCTTAAACTTACAATAAAAGAGATGGCTAAAAACTTACAATAAAGGACCCAAAAATTATAAAAAGAGATGCAAAAACATTACATGAAAAGGGACTTTTTACCCAAATTCCCTTAAACCTTTGATTTGATGTCCTTTGGTGAGTAGATTTTATTAGTTAGAGGTTATTAAGAAAATATAACAATTTTAGGTTTTCTTGAAGGGTCGTTTGAATTTCATAAACTAAGTGATTGGTGTGAGGATTCATGGGAATTTCTCTACACTATTGTCTCCTTCATACATTTTTTTTTTTGGTTGACCTGGATCATTCATACATTTCACATTGCATAAATTGATTTTAATATCTTGACCTAAGTTGAATTAATATGTCACATATTATTAAGATACAATTTTCTATTGAACATTTCATTTCTTCATTATTAGGTCATATTATGAAGAAGGAATAAAGTGTGTACAACTTACATCAATTGGTCACAATGGAAGCCTAAGGGGACGTCTCTTTGAAGAAGAATAATAATGGGTTCAAAATATCCCAAAAGAGTGTGCTACACTTGAATGGTGTTCAATTTAGCCTGCTTGTTAGCCTTCTAGAATATCAACTTGCCCATCCACTTGCACCTTGATAATATCACTTTCCCTCCAAAATTTACTAATTCCCTATCCACTTGCATGTGCATTTTTCAGCCACTTGCTTGATTACATTCTTAGACTCACAATTTGTCACATTGATTCACAACTCTCATCTTCTCCTCTTACACGAATCCTCTCACTTTCTCTCTGCTCAATTTTTCTCTCCATTTTCCCTCACTTTCCTAGCTTCATAACATTATCATTTCATTACTAAATCAATCCATCTATTCATCATTCTATTCCTCTCATTAAAACCGTCAGTGCCTTCTTAATCTTGCCTGGATCCATCGCTTAAATATTCATGGAGATCAACGCAACCATGTTCGTGACTTTAATTTGGAACATGAACAAGGGAGCTTGAAGATGAAGGTTCAAGGCTAGATCGCTTTAGAGCTATAAAGATGAATATGACTTTCTGATCTCTTCTTTCTTCTATCAATCTCTTCGTATCAATTTATTGGTTGAGTTGATATGTTTATATTGAATTGTCACTACAAAAAATTATTAAAATTGAGAGAAAATAGAGACTAGTTATATTTTTTAAAAAAATTAATTTTTAAAAATATTTTAAAATATAGGGATAGATTTAGAAATAACTTATATACACATCTAAAAAAAGCATTTTAAAATCTATCTCAACGTCTATTATTATTTATTAAAAATTTAATTTTTTAAAATTTAAAATGTCAGAGACAAGTTTAGGGATAAATAAATTTTATCCCTAAACTAGACATCTCCAAATTTATCTCCAATATTAATTTTACATTTTTTTAAAATTTAGAGACTAAATTTGAGATATTTTTTATGAATTTAAAGACAAAATTTAACCATATCTAATTTCCTCTCTATATTTCTTTAAAATTTTATAATTTTTTTATTGATTTAGATATAGAATTAGAGATGATTGAAATAAATATATTAAAGATGAAATTATTTTTTGTTTCTTAATGTGTCTCTAACTCAAAGTAGAGATAGATTTAGAGACGGAGTCATATTTTTTATTTTTTTAAATTTGTGGATTATCAATTATTTTAATACATGCTTGAAATACATTAAGATGCAAATTAATTTTAAAAGATGCAAAAAATTTTTATCGTTGTTTAATGAGCTTCCCATTCAATGTAAACAATAAAAATTCAATGTTTGTGTTCAAAAACATTGATCTTCAGAATTTATAGAGTGTTAGAAAATGTTTTGTATGTCATTTAAATCTTTCTCTTATTCTTTCCCTCTTTCTCTAACTTTAACCATTCTCATTTTCTAAATTTCTATTTAGTATTCGTAAATTTATTCTATCACCATGATTGATTAAATTTTTTGTCTCTTTTGTATTATTCATATTTTCCTTCAATACTTTTATAATGTTTAATAAATTTATTCTAAGTAAGAAAATAGTCTTGCAAAAAGTCACTAACATTATTTTGTAGGGAAAATGATAGTAAAGTCCCTTTAGATTATCTAATTAACAGTTTGGTTTCATGAAATGACATAATTCCCCTGAAGTTCCATAGAATTTTTCTATCATTAGGGAATTATAGGGAATGACACTTTTGCCCTTTATTCAAATTAAAAAAAAATAACATCATTTCCCCCATTTTAGTCGTGCACTGTGCTCTATCTCTCCACCCTTGCATGTCGCTACAACTGTGTCCCTGTCATCATCTCGCTGTCGCAATGTCGCTGTAGCCTTACTGTCAGCATTCTCATCTTCGATTTGCTTTACCTCCAGTAGCTTTGACCATCTCAACATTCCTAGTAGTAGGTCTGTTATTGTGGATTTGTGGGTGTGTTTGCATTCCCGACAATGAGTCCAGTAGCTTCTCTCCCTCTCTCCCCAGTCACACTTAATTAAGGTATTTATTCCTCTTCTCAACTTCTATAGGATTGTGTTTGTGGGTCTTAATCTAAGCTCATGTGTCTATAAAAGGCAGTACTACTACTATATCTATATGTATAGTGTAGATATTCAAAGGCATGTGTTTGTGAACATGAT